TGCCTAAGCCCAGATCCATACCTCAACCCATGTGCCCTTTTCTCAAGGAACATCATAGCTGGGAACTCTCAAACATCTTAATACAAATAAGTGACTCCCATAATGGCATTAAATATCCTTCCAGAGGTCTGAGGGGGTGGCAAGTCTCCCACCCGCTCAGTCCTGCACCTTGTAACCAACAGGCAATGTTGTTATTATGTGCCATCGAGTCGGCCCCAACTCATAGCGACCCCTTCTTGGGTTTCCGAGGCAGTATCACTACGGAAGTAGATTGCCCCATGTTCCTTCTGAGGAGTGGCTGGTGGGTTTGAACCGCCAGCCTTCTGGTTAGCAATCAAGTGCCTTAGCCACTATGCTACCAGAGCTCCTCAACAGGCAATACTGCACCATAAAGTGGGGTATTCTTAACCACACTGCTAGTGTTTTTGGTAGAGACTGCAGGTATACCAGAGGTGGCTCAGACAGACATTCAATGTAATTTTTTCCTTCATTTTACACTTAAGGATCAGACCAGTCCTCCCCTAGAGTGGAGTCCATTGGACCCATCATATGCTGGCATAAACTAAACAGCATCACAAGGGTGGTTCCACAAGTTTCAAACTCTTTCTTGGTTGTCGACAAATTGATTTTTCTCTTTCATGCTTTTATTCTTCCATTTTGTTCAACGTAGTTGTTTTTCCCCCATCTAGGGCCATGTTCTCTTTCCAGCATGCAAATACAAAATATAAGCAGAGGAGGAGCCTGGTATCCTGTTTACCTGTGTATTCACATTAGAATATACTGTACTTCCTGTTCCCTTGTAGACTTTACTAAGAAGTTCCTATCATTTCCTCTCCCTCACTGAATACTAAGACTGCAAAAATTATTGTTCATTCATGCAACCTGTTTTATAACACAGAAATCCCAACACTTCTATCAAAAGATCACAAAGCAAAGAAGTACTTCACAAAAGAATAGTGTATCTCAAGGGTGCATGCTGGAAAAGGGACAGATGTCAATTCATCAGCGTCTTCAAAGAGACTTTATTCTAACTTAACTTACTGTTAAAGAGGGTTTAAATACTTAAAATTTTTCAGTTATATTTTCACTTATATTCACACACTCATTCCTTCATTCTTTATCTTTTTCTTGGCATTTAAATGTATACGACATTCTACAAAGCACATTAGAGAATTGAAAGGAAAAGCGGACAGAATTCACCCTCAGGGAGCTTACAGTTGTTGATGGTTGTTGTTAGCTGTTATGAAGTTGATCCCAGGCATCTGATGATCCCATGAACAATGGAATGCAATGCTGCCAGTTCCTGCACCATCACCATGATATGTTGTAGCTTAGACTATTATGGGGAGCTCTGGTAGCATAGTGGCTAAGGCACTTGACTGCTAACCAGAAAGCTGGCGGTTCAAACCCACCGGCCACTCCTCAGAAGGAAGATGGGGCAATCTACTTTGATAGTAATACTGCCTCGGAAACCCAAAGAGGGGTCGCTATGAGTTGGGTCCGACTAGATGGCACATAACAACAACAACAACAACAGACTATTATGATCCATGGAGTTTTCACTGGCTGATTTTTAGAGGGAAATTGCCAGGCCTTTCTTCCTAATCTATCTTAGTCTGGAAGCTCCACTGAAACCTGTTCAGCACCATAGCAACATGCAAGCCTCCACTGACAAATAGGTGGTGGCTGCACTTGAGGTGCATCAGCTGGGAATCTAACCTGGGTTTCATCTATGTTGTTGTTGTTATGTGCCATTGAGTTGGCCCCAACTCATAGCTACCTATCCTTGGGTTTCTGAGGCAGTATCACTATGGAAGTAGATTGCCCAACCTTCCTTCCGAGGAATGGCTGGTGGGTATGAACCGCCAGCCTTCTGGTTAGCAGTCAAGGGCCTTAGGTGCAAGAATTCTGCTACTGAACCATCAGAGATATGCTCCTTTTCCCCTTACAGTTAGTAGAAGAGCTAGAATAAATATATATAATGACTATTTTTATGTATTAATGATTTAGGCATGTAAATTTCTAATAGCACTATCATGTTGGATTGCAGTTATGACTCAGTGCTGATCTGTTTGTCCTTGATAAGATCTAATATGTGAACTGTCACAGCAAGAGGTGCCTTTCTTACAGTGCATACTATGGTTGGTTATGTCTAGGTCTATTTGCCCAGATAGACTGCAAATGTCTCCAGAGGCTACCATAACATCTGAAACCAGTAAGGTGCTCAAGAATGTTTGTAATGAATGAATCCTTCCAGTGGGCAACCCAACAATGCCACAGAAAGAGAAAACAGCTGCTGAATGAGGATCACTGAGCCTCATTCCTTCTAGAGTGGGTAAGACTGAATTGTCAAAAAACCCCTCCATGCTCTTCAAGGTCTACATACAAGGAGATGGAGTGTCCCCCATCTGTGCTCTGAGATATTTGACTAATAAGCATCCAATGGTTCTTGAAAGAAGTGGTGAGTCGGGAAGGCTGGGGATTCATTGTGACAAAATGGGGCAAATCCACTTTATGTTCTCAGGGGACACAATTTAAGCTTTCAGAAATTTAGTTCCCTAATCTGTGAAGTCAGGGGTTGTGTGAGATAATTTTAAAGGGTCCTTACCATTCAAAGAGTCTATGAAATGGTCTTTCTTACATTTGGGTGCATTTATAAATAGCTGTCCTTTGCAAATACATGGTGGCTATACTGAATCACTCACTGCTTGTCAAGCAACATAGCACTCCAAAGAAATGAGTTAGTATGACGTGTCAAGACCAGAGCTCAGACCAATCGGCTCCAACAAACTCAGACTCATCATTGGCTCTCCTGGCAATCCTGTATTGTGAGAGGGCACCACCAGGATGATGTCTTTGTTTTGTGGAAACACTTCCTAAGAGTGTATTGGGCTTTGCCTGTCCTTGCTTGTTTGGAGATAATTGAGAAAAGCATGTGCTGCTTGCTGTGGAATTTCTAGAAGTATATAGCAATTACAAAGCTGGAAGAAATCCTCATTTTCTCAGTGGTCCTCACAAGCCCCATTTGTATGGGTTTGACCTGCCTTGCTAAGAGGTTAGCCCTGTTCCTGGGATCCTGCAGAGCAACAAAATTACAAAGAGTGGCCCATCAACAGAGCCTTTTTCCAAAGAAAATGTTTGTCCTTCAGTCACAGTAAATAGCACATCATCTCCTAAAAGCTCTCTAGCTCTGTAGTATAGAGAAGGACAGTGGTAAGTTAAACCAAGGTGCACAAGCAGAAAGTGCCTCTTTTTAACCACAGATATGATCTTGTGTTGCAGGGCTGTGCATGTCACAGGTGGCTGGCTGCAGGTAAGTCAATTAGTCTTACTACGTGTCCTAAAAAGGCTCCAAGTATGGATTTTTATCTAAACTGGCCATATTTCTGGAAAGTGTGTAAAGTTCCTTTTTAGATTGAAATAGGAGAGACATTCAGTGGATTGACAAGGGTAAATATTAAGAACAAGAGACTGTGAAAAAGATGATCACTCTAGGCAATGTTATCTAATTTGATGGCTCCAACTATCACCATGATTCTCAAAATTAGCACAGAGATATACACATCAACAAATAGTAACTGAAATTTCATGAGCTCTTGATCAAAATTTCTAAAAGTTTACCTATATATCTTGCAAACTCACTGGCTTAAACGAATTTACTGTTAGGCTAAGCTGGCTTAAACTGGCTTAAACTAACTCACTGTTAGTGAACTCTACTGTTCATCCCCAAATTGTGTCCCCTGTGGGACACCATCATCTACCATCCTCAAAAGGGAAACATCAGAGTTTTAATCCTCTCTCCCTGTCCCTTTCTAGATGCATTTAATGATGACTAAGTTTTGCACATTCTTTCTCTTTGATGTCTTGAATGTTATTCCTCTTTTCTTCTACTCATTCATGTTCTCTTCACCTTTGGCCTGAATCACACAATAGCCTCCTGTAATGGTCTTGTCCATCACTTTCTCCCAATGTTTAGTCCATTTTCTATAGAATGCTAGCACTGCCATTCCTTCATTCAGCACATGTCCATGGAGAACCAGCTTCTTGGCCAGGCAGCAGGGAGATTACAGACAAACAGCACAGTAATTCTCACACATTGTGGTATCACTTGCTCTTTTCACTCAACATTGAGGGCCCCGAAAAGCTTTTGCTTATGAGTGCTATATATCAATATTTACAATATTAGGAATGAAAACAGTGACATTTTTAAAACCCAACACCACATACTACCACCTGTCTGTTGTATTATGATGGCCGACATGTTGCTATGATAGTAGAAAGCTATGTGACCAGTATCTCAAATATCAGCAGAGTCACCCATGGTAGACAAGTTTCAGTGAGCTTCCAGACTAAGACAGACTAGGAAGAAAGATTAGCCAATGAAAGCCCTATGGATTACAATAGAATATAATCTGAAAAAGTGTTACAAGATGAGTCCCGTAGGTTGGAAACCCAAACCCAAACCCACTGCTGTCGAGTTGATTTTGACTCATAGTAATCCTATAGGATGGAAACAGAACTGCCCCATAGCTTTTCCAAGGCTGTAAATGTTTATGGAAGTGGCCTTCCACATCTTTCTCCCATGGAGCAGCAGCTGGTAAGTTCGAACCATTGACCTTTTGGTTAGCAGTCAAGTGCTTTAACCACCAGGTTAAATAGGTTGGAAAGTACTCAGATTCCGTGGCCAAAGAAATGGACTTGAGCATATTAGCAGTCATGAAGCTGATACAGGACTGGGGAATATTTTGTTCTGTTATACATGGGGCCATGAGTCTGAGCTGACTACATGGCAACTAACAACAACAAGAAGATTACACAAATACATATTCCTTGTGCTGTCAGAATGATGACACCATTTCATATCATAAAGTCTCTGGAAAACTCCACTGAATATTCATGAATGAATGAGAGTAAAGCAGAAAATAAACCTGATAGTATGACTGTGAAAGTAATTTTGAGGCCACAGACTGTCATGGACTTCAGGAGTCCCCACATAATACTGATGGATTTGGTAATGTCTCTGCCCTCTAGATTTGATAAAAATCTCTTCCCTTCACTTAAAATCCAGTAATATCAAAATCACTATATGAAAACCATTTGCTAACTCATTGGTATGTCCTTCAAACCCCTTCACCTACAGTCCCACCACAATTTCAGTTTTGGTTCCCCTCACTCTGCTTGTTCCCAGCCCCTTTCCTCTAGTCATCTGCTGGTTTTTGAAGAGCCTGAACTTTAATGCTTCCTTGCTTTATATGCATGACTTATAAATGTTTTTTCCCTGCTTCTTCTGCTTACAAAATTCTGCTCACATTTTAGATCCAGCATGGTAAAGTGTCTATCTTCCTCCCAGACAAATTATAAATTCACTGAAAACCAAGATCCCTAATGATCAATTTGACTAAGATTCCATCCTCTTTTAAGTGCTTTTGTATCTGTTTTGAATTCCTATTACTTTTGTCATATTTTAACATATTATGGATTTTTAAATCAAATCCATTCAGACTATCCTATTCTTTCTCTGCCACTTTTTTTTTTTTTTCACATCTTAAGGATTTTAAACCAATTTTTTCTAAGGGAGGATCAGGGCTTAATATGACATTTCTAATCAGTATTTTAAAAATGTTACCACTTGTGCTTGACGGTGCCAATTACAAAAACTTCTACACCTCCAGGACATAATTTCCCTATCTTATTGGCATGGTATAAATGACCTTCAAAAAGAAGTTTGGTCTTTCCTTTCTTGCTAGAGAAAATAATTCTAATGGTATTATGACAAAAAAAAAAAAAAAAAAAAAGAAAGAAAGAAACCCAAGTTCATCACTAGTCCATGTGCTCGCAAGGGTTAGTTATGTACTTGCCTTTTTATCCTGACATCCTGGGCAACAAATTCTGGGCAAGTAGATTTTACCCTGTTGAATATGACACTGATTGTCCTTAATTGATTTAGCTTCAGGATCAGAACACTGCAGAGTAGAATGATCAATGTGGGTCAATATATTGAGCTGCATTTATTAAAAGAAACTTAAATTTTTAAGGAAAGGGTTTATTGGCAAATTTTCTTTAAAACAACAAAAACAAAAAGACATAATGGAAAAAGATTCCTGTTCATTCAGAATATTGCACATCTAATAATTATTTGTAAATTTATACATTTAAATCAGAAGAATACCTTGATAGAGATTTTTTTTTTTTAAGTCTTAAAAGGGTCAAAATACATCAAAAAGACTATTGTTGTTATGTGCCCTCAAGTCAGACCTGACTCATAGCGACCCCTCCTTGGGTTTCTGAGGCAATATCACTATGGAAGTAGATTGCCCCATCTTCCTTCCAAGGAGTGGCTGGTGGGTTTGAATGACCAGTTTCTGGTTAGCAGTCAAGTACCTTAGGCAATATACTACCAGAGCTCCTATCAAAAAGACTAGGACACCAAAATGACTCCAAAAAAATCCTCAAAATGTAGTTTCTTTTTAGAAAGACTGGTCATTAGCCAATTGATAATAGCAAACCAGTTTGCAGTGAGTGGATCAACCACTAGTTCTTCCTCTGTTGTTTCCAAGCACAAGTCTTTAATAGTATACACATTAACTGATCCTGGCCAGGTATTTGCACATGCTCAGCCAACTAGGGCTCTTGGGGAAGGAATTAGAGCATAAAATATGGTACGTAGTATATCATATATAGTAAATGATATATCACTATTCCATCAAATAGTAAGTGCTTTGTAAATTTTAATAGAACATATAATTTGAAATATGCATTTTAATGAATGAATTCTCAACAGCTCCCAATACTATAATTTTATCATAAGGGGGAAGAATAATTATCATTTATCTACTACAAGTGAATGTGTTTTAGTTTTCCATTCAATTTTCATATTTTTATTTAGTTGAGATTGCAGGTTGGTAGACTGCTAACTAGAAGGCTGGCGGTTCAAACCCACCAGGTGCTCCTCAGAAGGAAGGTTGGGTAATCTACTTCCATAGTGATATTGCCTTGGAAACCCAAGGAGGGGTCGCTATGAGTTGGGTCCAACTCTATGGCAAATAACAACAACAACAAATGCTGGCTGCTTTGATATGGGAGCAGTAAAGAGAGGGCCAGCTCAAAGATTGGGTACAAAATGCCCAACCTTGAAATGTAGGTGCCTCCTCGGTTTATTTTATTTTTTTTGGACTGCTTCTCTCTCTGCTGGGCACAACTCCTGAGAATGGCCTTACTCATGTTCATGGTTCCAACATCACATTTGTACCAAAGATGCCCACAGTGATTAGTCTGAGGTGTATACATTATTCAATCACTAATCTAGGTGTGGCAGTGAAAGTATTTTGTAGATGTAGTTAACATCTAGGATCAGTTAACTCTATGTAAGGGTGGACTCTAAGTAATGTGGGTAGGCCTTATCTAATCATTTAAAGGCCATAATAGGGTTCTTGGAAAAGAAGAAATTTTGCCTGAAGACTGTAACATAAAACTCTTCCTGAGTTTCCAGCCTGCTTCCTTAACATATATATAAACAGATACTTGCACATACACTAACTGTGTGATCTTAGGCAAGTCATAATCTCTCACTCAATTTTCTCATGTCAAAATTGAGTTTCATGAGTACATTTCAACTGGCTCCAAAGATCCCAAAAGCTTTTGCTACAGTATCTCAAGGCTCAACTAGGAGTTCTAGGGGTGCTGTAACAAGATGACTGTCCATCCCCTCAATCAGCAGAGCAGCTCTGCTATTATCAGCTTTATGTAATGGACTTCCATATACAATTTCATCTGGAAATAAGGATTTTTGTTGCTAAAAAGTTGTTAATCCAGTCATCCAGATGACTGGGTTAGTTTTTTTTCTGGCCAAACATTCTATGAGTCTATGATGTTAGAAGATGCCTAGTCCCAACTGGGCCTTAGTGAAATTAAAAAAAAAAAAAAGAAAAGAAAAGAAAAAAAAAATCCCAAAGTCACATGCTAGGCAGTGATGGAGTTGAGAGTAGAACAAAGATCTCCTGTCTTCCAGGAGGCATAGATCTCACTCTCCACATGGACCTTGATATATGGATTTCCTAACAGCTTCAGCACTGGATGATGTAGGAAGCACCAAAAGAAAATGGAAGGAATATACAGAGTCACAGTACCAAAAAGAATTGGTCAATATTCAACCATTTCAAGAGGTATCACATGATGAAGAATCGATAGTATTGAAGGAAGAAGTCCAAGCTGCACTGAAGGAATTTCCCAAAATACAAGACTCCAGGAATTAATGGAATACTCATTGTAATGTTTCAAAAAATGGATGCAGGGCTGGAGGCACTTACTAATTTATGCCAAGAAATTTGGAAGACAGCTACCTGGTCAACCAACTAGAAGAGATCAAATTTGTTCCCATTCCAAAGAAAGGTGATCCAACAGAATGTGGAAATTATTGAACACTATCCCTAATATTGGGAGCTCTGGTAGAATGGTGCCTAAGGCATTTGACTGCTAACCAGAAGGCTAGTGGCTCAAACCCACCAGCTCTCTTCCTAAGGAAGGTTGGGCAATCTACTTCCCTAGTGATACCACCTTGGAAACCCAAGGAGGGGTTGCTATGAGTCAGATCTGACTAGATGGCAGTGAATTTTTTTTTTAATCACTAATATCACATGCAAATAAAATTTTTTCTGAAGATAACTCTAAAACAGTTGCTACAGCATATTGACAAGGAACTTCCAGTAATGCAAGCTAGATTCAAAAGAGGACATGGAACAAGGGATATCATTGCTGATGTCAGATGAATCTTGGCTGAAAGCAAAGAGTATCAGAAAGATGTTTACCTGTGTTTAATTGACTATGCAAAGGTATCTGATTGTGTGGATCTTAACAAACTCTGGATAACATTGTGAAGAATGGAAATTCTAGAACACTTAACTCTGCTCATGAGGAACCTGTACAGAGATCAAGAGCCAGTTGTTCAAACAGAACTAGAGAATACTGCATGATTTAAAATCAGGAAAGGTGTGCATCAGTGTTGTATCCCTTCACCACCGTTATTTAATGTGAATGCTGATGAAATAATCTGAGAAGCTGGACTATATGAAAAAGAACACGGCATCAGGATTAGAGGAAGACTCTTTAACAACCTGATATTCAGATGACACAATGCTCCTTGCTGAAAGTGAAGAAGACTTGAAGCACTTACTGCTGAAGATCAAAGACCACCACCTTCAGTATGAATTACTCTTCAAAATGAAGGAAACAAAAATCCTCACAACTGGACCATAAGCAACATCATGATAAATAGAGAAGAGATCAAAGTTGTCAGGGACTTCATTTTACTTGGATTCACAATCAACATTCATGGAAGCAGCAGTCAAGAAATCAAGCATTGTATGGCATTGGGCAAATCTACTGTAAAAGATCTCTTTAAAGTGTTAGAGTAAAGATGTCACTTTGAAATCTAAGGTGTTCCTGACCCAAGAAATGGCATTTTCAATCTCCTTTTATACATGCAAAAGGTGGATAACGAATAAGGAAGAGTGCAGAAGAATTTATGCATTTGAATTGTGATACTGGCAAAGAATACTGAATGTACTATGGACTGCTAAAAGAACAAATAAATCTGTCTTGGAGGAAGTACAGCCAGAATATTTTTTAGAAGCAAGAATGGCCAGACAATCTCTCATACTTTGGTCATGTTGTTAAAAGGGAGCCGTCCCTGAAGAAGGACATGATGCTGAGTTGCTGGGTAGAGGGTCAGTGAAAAAGGGGAAGATGCTCAACAAGATGGATTGACTCTGTGGCTGCAATGATGGGTTTCAGCACAGGAACAATTGTTATGCTGGTGCAAGACTGGGCAGTATTTCATTCTGTTGTGCATGGGGTCACTATGAGTAGGAATAAACTCAACAATCCCTAACAACAACAACAAACACCTTTGGCTGGAGGTTAACGCTTCCAAATCTCTATCAGTGGCTTCCCCAGGTACGTTAAGAGGCATGAGGGTTAGTTAAATGTGAGTGGATATAAACAGGAAACTTAAAAATGAGGTGG